GAGCAATGCTAATTTGTTTTTCTCCAGAGCCAAAGGAGTGCTTTGAAACATTAAGAAACTGGAGAATGGCTGACAAGACTGTGTGTCGAATGTCATGGTATCGGTGTTATTACTGCCAAGGTAAGGATGGGCAACACAGAAGAGAGAAAACTGCTCTGTAACAGGACCGCTCTTAACACTGTGCAATATGTTTTCATCAGGTTGATACAGAAGACCTTTGACTGCTATTTACTTAGAATCCAAACAAGAAATCACAAGAAGACTTTCATGGGAGAAACAATACACTGGTGTAAATATATGAAGAGCAAATGCCATACAGTGTAGCTCTGGGAAGTGGATCTGATTCAAAGAAGTGATAAAAGTAAAGACTTCAAGGGATGATTGCAAAGGTGGAGAAGAATATGTGTAACAAAGCAGAGAAGGAAAAGCAACCTCCAATAAGAAAAAGGTAAGAAAGTGTTAAGAAATTGACGCAGCAAAAGAGTAAGGAAGACACGCAAAGTCTAAAAGATATGACATGGGAAGGAACCCAAATAAAGAGTTGAAGAGCTATTTCTTCTGTGCTTTACTGAATAAATTAATAGAAGGTAGCAGCATATTTTTTCAAACTTTTATCCTAAATTTTTGCATCACAAAGCAATGGATTAACATTGGAGCATAAGAATCCTGAAGGGTTCTTAATGCTCTAATGGTGATCTTAATGATCTAATGGGGATCAAAACATTTTGATCACACTGTTGTCATTAAACCTTGGAGTCAAAAGATTAAAAAAATTAATGATACAATTAAAATCATGGATGTCTGGAAAAGGACAAGGAAAGAAAATAAATAAATAAATAATATAGTGAGCTGGCAGAAGGGATTTATTGAAATTACTTTCTAAGTCTAATGTATATTCAGGTGTTGACTCAGCTCTTCCAGCTGGGAATGGGGTAGAAAGAGGTAGAAACATCTACCTGTGGCGTAGAGAAGATAGAGTCTACCATCCAGAAAACCAACCAGCTGCTTCTTGATCACATGGATACCCTTAGAGACAATAAAGCTCTTATGTCCTGGCCTTCTAACATTTTTTCTTTTTATTATCACTGCTGTTAACATTATTCTGATACACTCTTTTAAAGGCTAGGATTCCAATATCAAAGAATGGACAAAAGTAGACAAAGGTGAGTTGGAGGATACTGCAATTTGATTTCTGTAAAGAAAATTTATAAAGTATCATAGATAGGACTATGGAGTTGTAGGATCAGCAAAGGAGTGCAAGCCACAAGGTTGACAGTTGAAACTCATGAGCTGTTCCTCAGAAAACTTATACAGGTCAGGAATGAAAAATTGAAAATGAATGGCGTCACATTCATCATCAAAAAGAACATGTCAAGATCTGTCTTGAAGTACAGTGCTGTCTGTGATAGGATAATATCCATATGCCTACAAAGAAGACCAAGTAATACCACTATTATTCAAGTTTACGCACCAACCACCAAAGTCAGTGATGAGGAAACTGAAGAATTCTATCAAATTTTCAGTCTGAAATTGATCAAACATCCAATCAAGATATATTGATAATTACTGGGTACTAGACCATAAAGGTTCGAAACAAAGTAGAAAGATCAGTAGTTAGACCCTATGGCCTTAATGATAGAAACAATGCTGGAGATTGCATGATAGAATTTTGCAAGACCAGTCACTTCTTCATTTCAAATAGCAAAAGACAACTATTCAAAGGAACCTCACCAGATGGAATACACAGAAATCAAACAGACTACATCTTTGGAAAGAGAACGTGGGAAAGCTCCATATCATCAGCCCAAAACAAGGTCAGAGTCAGACTGTGGAAGAAACCATCAATTGCACATCTGCAAGTTCAGGCTGAAGCTTAAGTAAATTAAAATAAGTCCATGAGAGCCAATATATGACCTTGAACATATCCCACCTGAATTCAGAGTTCATCTGAAGAATGGATTTGATGCATTAGACACTACAGACCAAAGACCAGAGGAGATATGGGATGACATCAAAAACATCATACAGGAAGAAGAAAAAGATCATTAAGAAGATAAGAAAGAAGGAAAGACCAAAATGGATGTTAGGAGAGACTTTGAAACTTTCTCTCAAGCATAGAGATGCTAAAGCAAATGGAAGAAATGAGGAGGTAGAAGAGCTAACTAGAAATTTTCAAAGAGCAGCTCAAGAAGGCACACTCAGATATTATAACAAAATGTGCAAAGACCTGGAGTTAGAAAACAAAAAGGGAAGAAGATGCTCAGCATTTCTCAAGTGGAGATAATTGAAGAAAAAATGTAAGCCTTGATTTGAAATATTGAAGGATTCTCTAGGAGAAATATTGAATGATGCAGGAAGCATCAAATGAAGATGGAAGGACCACACAGAGTCACTGTACTAAAAAGAAATGGTTGATTTTCAAACATTTCATGAAGTAGCATATAATGAAGAGCCTAAGATACCAAAGAAGAAAACCAAGGTGCACTGAAAGCATTGGCAAAGAACAAGGCTCCAGGAATTGAAATCTTTCAACAAACTCATGAAGCACAGGAGGCACTCACTCATCTCTGCCAAGAAAATTGGAAGACAACTTCTGGCCAATTGACTGGGAGAGATCCATATTTGTGCCCATTCCAAAGAGAGGTGACCCAACAGAACATGGAAATAACTGGATAATATCATTAATAGCTCATACAAGTAAAATTTTCCTAAATATAATCCCCAAACAACTGCAAACACAATGGCAGAGAACTGCAAGAGGTTCAAGTTGGATTCAGACAAGGATGTGAAATGAGGACTATCACTGCTGATGTCAGATGGATCTTGGCTGAAAGCAGAGAATACCAGAAAGATGTTTACTTGTGCTTCACTGACTATGTGAAAGTTTTCAATTATGTGGATCATGCAAAGCTCTGGACAACATTGTGGAGAATGAGTATTCAGGAACACATAATTGTCCTCATCAGGAACCTGTACATTTAACAAGAGGCAGTTATTGGACCAGAACAAGGGGGCACCAAATGGTTTTAAATTATCAAAAGTGTGTGCCAGGGTTTTATCCTTTCATCATACTTATTCAATCTGTATTCTGAGCACGTAATCCTAGAATCTTCATTATATGGAGAAAAATGTGACATCAGGATTGGAGGAAGACTCATTAACGATCTGAGCTATGCTGATGATACAGCCTTGCTCACTGAAAGTGAAGAGCACTTAAAATACTTGCTGATGAAGACCAAAGACCACAGCCTTTGGTATGGGTTGCACCTCAATGTAAAGAAGACAAAAATCCTCACCTTTGGACCAATAAGCAACATCCATATAAATGGAGAAAAGATTGAAGTTGCCAAAGACTTCATTTTGATCTGATCAACCATCAACACTTATGGAAGCAGCAGTCACGAAATTAAAGGATGTATTGCATTAAGCAAATCTGCTGTACAGAACCTCTTTAAAGTGTTCAAGAGCAATGATGTCAGTTTGAGGACTAAGGCTACTGTTTATCATCCAAGTATTCTATCTGTCACCAAATTATTATAATAACCAAACATCAAAGAAACAGAATTCCCCATATATTCAGTTTCTCAAAATACACTGCATATATATTCTAAGTAAATGAAAATATTGGAATACATTTTCCATCTTACTGAAACCAGAATCAAAATAAAATATTCAAGATAGAGGAAATTGGGCCAGTGCAAAACCTATAGTGTGGATTAGATATTTCATGCACAGACTAAAGTAAAACAATTACTATTATTAATAATAATGTATTCAAAGGTAAATATGAGTAAAAGTGCTTATTTGCAAAATATATGCCAAGAAGACATTCATAAAAAAGAATATTAGGTGAGTTTTTTTCCATAAAAATGCCAAAACATATCATAAAGCTATAGCAATTGAAACAATATTGTATTGAAATAGGAGAAAAAGTAGTTGCAGAAAGTAGAGTCCAGAAGCAAACACAGGCTCAAATTAATCATTATTGTTAAGTGCCATCAATTTGGTTCCCACTCATAGCAACCTTGTGTATAGTTTCTAAGGAGAGGGTGATGGATTAGAATCTGTGACCTCATGGTTAGTAGTCAGTGCTTATCCTACAGTGCCACACCAAGGCTCCAATATTGCTAAATGTAGTGTGACTCTATCTTATCATATTAACTGAGAGATTATTCACGCTCTACCTCTATTTAGGGAGTCCTGGTGTGGCATTGTGGGTTAATGCATTATGTGTAACATTGACTGTAAATAGGAAGATCGGAAGTTCAAATCAGCAACCAAATCAAGGGAGAAAGGTAAGGCTTTGTGCTCCACTAAAGATTGGTTGGTGTTGTTAAGTGCTGTCAAATCAGTTCTGACTCATAGCGACCCTGTAGATGGTTTCTGAGGAGCGGATGGTGAGTTTGAACTGACAACCTTGTGGTTCAAACTGACCTTGTGGTCTAGTGCTTATACTACAGTGCCACACCAGAAACCCCATACCAGGTCACTGTGAATCAGAACAGATTCGATGACACATGACCACCACCACCACCACCACCACTATTCCTTTTGACTCCTTATAGACAGCAGTGAAAACTTGTTGCATCAGAATAAGTATTGTTAACATGAAAACAAAGCTCAAATATAGGACTAAGAACCTCATAATGGGATGAGGCTACTGAGTAGCAGACACCAGGAGAGAAATGCCATGTTCAAGCATTGCCTCCAGCTGCCACGTCAAAGAGGAAAGGGGCAGGCAGGGTGGGAGAGAAAGCCTTGTGCTCCCACCTCCTCCCAGCTGTCTTCAGGCTGACAGAGCAGAGACAGAAGCAGAGCTGACACCCTGCGGGGGTCCAGTTGGCACGACTTTAAAAATCACATGTGGCTGGTGTCACAGCAGAAACAATTTGTTCGTTGTAAATCACCAATTACATATGCAGAATCTTTTCTTCTAGTACCTACACAGCTGTTGATATATATATATATATATGTATATATCTTTCAATGTACTTACTTACCATCCAGAAAAGTTTGACAATGTACTTCCCATAGCTGTTGAACAAAGGCATGTGACCCTTCACAGCCTTGCACAGAGAATATATATGCTCCCAAGGCTTCCAGGCAAGAACAGGAGGTTCTCCTGCATTGCCTTTATAATAGTTGTTCAGAATGCTTCCGTTGAATATCTTCCACACTGCACAGATCTCACTGATAATCCACCTCATCAGCTAGAGACAAAAAAACACTAGTGATGATCGGTGATTTTTCAGTGATATAGTCTGTAATTAAGTGGGAGGAAATGAGCAATTTAATTCTAATACCAAAATACAAACCAAGCTCAGTGCAATCAGGTTGATTCTGACTCATGAAGATACTACAGGAAATAGTACAACTACCCCATAGGGTTTCCAAGGATGTAAATCTGTACACAAGCAAACTGTCATATTTTCCCCTCACTTAGAGGCTAGAGGATTCAGACCACTGAAATTCTGTTTAACAGCTTGACAATTTAATCACTGTGCCACCAAACCTCCTCTACTTTGTTGTTAGGTGCGGTCAAGTCAGTTCAGACTCATAGTGACTCTATGTATAGCAGAAAGAATCAATGCCTCATCCTGCACAAGCTAATAAAAGCCCCTAAACCAAATCCACTCCCACTGAGTTGATTACAACTCCTAATGTAGCTATGAGACAGAGCCAAGCTCTTTGGCAGGGGTTCTGAGGTTGTAAATCTTCACAGAAGCAGATGGACTCATCTTTCTCTTCAGGAACTGCTGGTGGCTTTGAACTGCCTGCCAATCTTTTGTTTAGTAGTCAAACACTGAATCCATTGCACCACCAGGGATCCTACTTCAAATAACCACAACCAAACTCACCCCATGGCCATCTAGTTGATTCCAAATCACAGTGACCTTACATAGGGTTTCTTAGACTGTAAATCTTTGAGGAAGCCTCATCTTT